ATGGCGGAGTAGAACTGTTTCAGCAGCTCCTGTGACAGGTTGAACTTCCTCAGCTGCCGAAGGAAGTACAACCTCTGCTGGGCCTTTTTAACAATAGAGTCTGTGAGTGTCCCACTTCAGGTCCTGAGAGATGGTGGTGCCCAGGAACCTGAATGACTCCACTGCAGTCACAGTGCTGTCCATGATGGTGAGTGGAGGGAGAGCAGGGGGGTTCCTCCTGAAGTCCACGGTCATCTCCACAGTTTTGAGCGTGTTGAGCTCCAGGTTGTTGAGACTGCAGCAGACAGCCAGCTCCTTAACCTCCTGACTGTAAGCAGACTCGTCACCGTCCTGAATGAGGCCGATGAGTGTGGTGTCATCTGCAAACTTCAGGAGCTTGACAGAGGGGTCTTTAGATGTGCAGTCGTTGGTGTACAGGGAGAAGAGCAGTGGAGAGAGAACACAACCCCGAGGAGCTCCAGTGCTGATTATACGGGTGCTGGATGTGTATTTTCCCAGCCTCACTAGCTGCTGCCTGTCTGTCAGGAAGCTGTTGATCCACTGACAGACGGAGGTGGACACAGAGAGCTGAGTTAGTTTGGGCTGGAGGAGGGATGGGATGATCGTGTTAAAAGCCGAGCTGAAGTCCACAAAGAGGATCCTCACATACTGTAAGTCCCTGGTCTGTCCAGATGCTGCAGGATGAAGTGCAGTCCCATGTTGACTGCATCATCCACAGACCTGTTTGCTCCGTAGGCAAACTGCAGAGGGTCCAGTAAGGGTCCAGTGATGTCCTTCAGATAAGCCAAAACCAGTTTTTCGAATGACTTCATGACCACAGATGTTAGAGCCACAGGTCTGTAGTCATTAAGTCCTGTTATCTTGGGTTTCTTTGGGACGGGGAAGATGGTGGTGTGTTTGAAGCAGGAAGGGACTTCACAAAGCTCCAGTGATCTGTTGAAGATCTGTGTGAAGATGGGGGCCAGCTGGTCAGCACAGGTTTTCAGACAGGCTGGTGTCACACCATCTGGGCCTGGTGCCTTTCTTCTCTTGTTCTTTCTGAAGACCTGGCGCACGTCTTCTTCACTGATCTGGAGTGCAGGAGGGAGGGAGATGGGGGTTGCTGGAGGTGTTAATGGTGTTTTTCCTCATTTAATTAATAAGAAAAACACACATAAAATGTGTAACTGTTCAATAATTCAATGTTGTATTTAAAAATACAACATAAAGGTGTTGTTTATATTCTTTTACAAATAAAATGTGTATATAATATTTTTTTTACGGACAAATCTAAATTAGCATATTTCAAAACATATTTCTCAATGAGATTTGAGTAATCTTATTGTGTATTGTTAACAATAACGCAGTTTTTGTCATGCGCCAGTATGTCAAGTCAAGTCACCTTTATTTATATAGCGCTTTTAACAATACAGATTGTGTCAAAGCAACTGAACAGCATTAATTAGGAAAATAGTGTGTCAATAATGCAAAATGACAATAGTAAACACAAATTTTTCAGTTAAAGACAGTTCATCATTGAATTCAGTGATGTCAACATCCAGCTCAGTTTAAATAGTATCTTTGCAATCAAGTCAACGGTATCGCTGGAAATGAAGTGTCCCCAACTAAGCAAGCCAGAGGCGACGTGAGGTGAAGTGTAACGTGGATTGTGACTTGACTCCTGACGTTGTCCGTGATCCCGTTGGCCTGGGTGGAGCTGGCGCGTGTGCTTCTTGTTATTGTTGTGTTGGCCGTCGCCATTAAAGGCTTGACTACACTATTCTCTCGTGTCAGCGATTCAATGTACCTCACCTACAAACTGGCGTGGTGGCAGCGTTATCGTATTCACTCCCCAAACGTTCCGGTGAGCTCATGTGAGATCTTGTGGATTATGCGTTGTGGATTATCTCCGCTGACAACACTCGAGACATTAGCCATGGCGAATGTTGAGACCGTGAATTCATTCGAGAACTGGCGTCAGAACCTTGTTTACACATTGTCATTGGACACTGAGTTCGCTCCCTTTCTAGTTCACGTCGCGCGCTGGGAAAAGAAGACGAGGGCTTCACCATTCAGAGGTTTTACCGATGACGACGACGACGATGTTCCTGCGGCGCAACGGCTCACGTGCCAACAAAAGGTCACCACGTTCAAGCTTATGCTGGGGCAGATCGCTAACTACTGCCCTGATATTTCCCGAAATACTATTGTTAAAAACTCCACATGCATTAATCACATATGGCAGACTATCAGACTACATTATGGATTCCAATCAACTGGTGCACATTTCATTGACTTTGCTGCTGTTAAACTTGAGTCTAATGAAGGGCCAGAGGATTTGTACCAGAGATTAATGGCTTTTGTTGAGGACAATTTACTAGAGATCAATTTTGGGAGGTCCATAGGGAATTTGATGAGGTCTTCAGTCCACAGTTTAGGGGCTATAATGGTGCTGCTGGCCCCTTCCAAGCAAGGGTAAACATGGGGCCTGTCCAACCGCCTCAGCGGAAGGGAAGGGTGCCGCAGTACTCCAGAGGCCAGCTGCAGGAACTGCAGGCTCAGTTTGATGCACTGGAGTCACTTGGTGTTTTTCGAAATCCCGACGACATTGATGTCGATGTGGAATATGTCAACCCATCGTTTCTTGTCAAAAAGCCTAATGGGTGTTTCGTCTTGTTACAGCATTCGCAGATGTGGGCCGTTATACCAAACCCCAACCGTCGTTGATGCCGTTATAGTATTCGCCGATGTGGGCCATTATAGCAAACCCAAACCGTCGCTGATGCCGAATGTCGATGCCACACTGCGTCTGATAGCTCAGTGGAGATATATCATTGCGACAGACCTCACCAAGGCGTTCTACCAAATTCCCTTTTCCAAATCTTCTATAAAGTACTGTGGTGTGGTCACGCCATTTAAAGGAGTCCGTGTGTATGCCAGATGTGCCATGGGCTAACCGCATTAGAGGAGTTAACCTATCGCATGCTCGGCGACCTACTTCAACAGGGACAGGTGGCCAAGGTCGCTGATGACCTGTACTCTGGTGCCGATACCCTTGAGGATCTTCTTGCAGTGTGGAAAATGGTCTTGGTGGCCCTCCAGGCATGCAATCTGCGCTTATCTCCCAGTAAGACAATCGTTGCCCCAGTCCAGACCAACATTTTGGGGTGGGTCTGGAATCAGAATTTTCCTAGCAGCCACTCCAATGGGCTAATGCTGAGAAGGCGGTCATCGAAAGGGCTGATCATGAACCCTAGTTTAATTTGCGCCGCCTATAGGGGAAAGGCTGAACAGATTATTTCAGTGAAACGGCTGAACGTAATGAAGAACTCAGAAAAATGCTAACTTTTGATGTCCACATTCAATGATTTACAATTGTTGCAGCATTTCTGTCATAAAGAAATGGCCAAATATAAAAAATTTAGTGTACATTTGAATTAAATGTTGTTCAGCCGAATGAGGATTAGATCGCACAGTGACATGTGGACGATTGTCG